ATAGGGAAAATGGAAAATGTGCACATTGCAACCGATATAACACATCAAAAGCTTGGTGCCAGGCATGTGATCCTCAGAAAACAACACAAGTATGGGCAAGTGGAAATAAGGATGTTGATAATTGTATTAAAGAATTTCAACTTAATGCTACAAAATATGAAGACGTAATTGAATGGATTCCTTTTAATAGGCTAGATAATATTCAAAAGATTGGTGATAGACTTTTAGCGACTTGGTTAGATGGAATACGACGTGTGGATGAGAATTGGTGGGGAAAGAGATACACACAGTCACGTATACCATCATATGGAGTAGATCTTAAAACATTAAATAGATCACCAAATTTAATCGATATGTTAAAAGAAGTGAGTTAAAAAAATATTAAATTATTATTGTATTGTACTAATATATATTGCTTTATTTTAATTTATGCTTATATCATATTATATAAGTTTACAGACTACGTACAGTTAAAAAAGAATAGTAAACTTAAAGTATATGGCCTAACTCAAAACACATCCACAAATGAATATATGTTAGTATTCGATGAATTTTATAATAAAAGAAAAATAAATTATGGGAAATGTGCAAATTGCAACCGATATGACACGTCTACAGTTTGGTGCCAGACATGTGATCCTCAAAAAACAACACAAGGATGGACAAGTGGAAATAAGGATGTTGATAAATGTATTAAAGAATTTCAACTTAATGCTATAGAATATGAAGACGTAATCGAATGGATTCCTTTTAATAGATTAATTAATATTCAAAACAGTGGTGATAAACTTTTAGCAACATGGTTAGATGGAAAACGTCATGTGGATTGGGATGGATTGAAAAAGAAATCCACACGCTCACGTACACAATCACGTACACAATCACATGAAGTAGAGCTTAAAGTATTAAATAGATCACCAAATTTAATAGATATGTTAAAAGAAGTAAGTTTAAATTATTATTGTATTGTGCTATTATTGTATTGTACTAATATATATTGCTTTATTTTAATTAAAATTATATATTAAAGAAGTTTATAGATTACGTACAGTTAAAAAAGAATAGTGAACTTAAAGTATATGGACTAACTCATGACACTGTAAAAAATGAATATATGTTAGTATTTGCTAACCAATTTGCTAATCAATTTGATTCTAAAAGAAAAATTTTGAATAAAAAATGTGCAAATTGCAACCGATATAACACCTCTTACGCTTGGTGCCAGACATGCGATCCTCAGAAAACAATACAAGAATGGATAAGTGGAAATAAGGATGTAGATGATTGCATTAAAGAATTTCAACGTCAAGCTACAGAATATGAAGACGTAATCGAATGGATTCCTTTTAATAGATTATTAAACGTTCAAAAGATCGGTGAAGGTGGATTTGGCTCAGTGTTTTCAGCAATGTGGTTAGATGGTAAAAGAATAATTTCAGGCGAAAAAGAGAAATTTACGCAATCACGTACACCACTATGTATAGTGGCACTTAAGACATTACCTGGCTCACGAAAGAATTTTTTAAAAGAAGTAAGTCAAAAAGTTTTACTAATGACTTAATATAATAAAACCTCCATAAGTGCACGACCTTGGGACCGAATTTTAGCGATGTGCACCTATGCCGTTCGAAGTTAATTCTTCGGTTAACATCACTTTGGAACTTTTGGAGGAGGGGTAAAATGAAACGAACGTATAAAAATTGGTCAATTTCATTGGTCGATGTAAATATAGTGACTGGTGAAAGTTACCCAGCGTTTTGATTGGTTGTTCATTTTTCGGGGGGAACTTCAGCTGGTGATGTTAACCGAAGAATCAACTTCGAACGGCCTTAGAGAGCAATAAAAAAAAGTCTATTTATGGAGGTCATGTATGTATTTGAGCCAGAGTTTAAGCGTGCATTTAAAGAGTGTGTTTGTGTATTAATAGAGAGTACACTATAGAGGTTTGTATAGATAAATTATTAACGCAAATCTATTTATTTAACAAGTTTAAAAGCTATGCTGAATGTAGATTGGCGGGTAACGATCTTGAAGTGTATGGACTAACTCAAAACACAGCCAATAATGAATATTTGATGGTGTTTCAATATGCAAATAAAGGAAGTCTTCATAAATTCCTACTATCTAGTTTTAGAGAACTTAATTGGAAAAATAAATTAAAGCAACTTGTTGAAATATCAAGAAATTTATCGATAGTTCATAAGGCAAAATATTTTCATGGAGATCTTCATAGCGGTAATATATTGCAACATCAGTATCTTAATGGAGATCTAAGATCTTATATTGCAGATTTAGGATTATCTCGAAAGAATGATGATTCGGAGCTAGAAGATGGTATTTACGGCGTTTTACCTTATGTTGCCCCCGAAGTGTTAATTGGACGATTATATACAATTGCAGCAGATATTTATAGTTTTGGTGTTATTATGACTGAAATGTCCATAGGAAGACCACCTCATTATGATTTAGAGTATGATGTAGAGTTAGCTATTAGTATATGTCCTAAGTGTTTACGTCCTGACTTTGCTGAAGGCACTCCCGAATGCTATATGAAATTAGCAAATCAATGTATGGATGCTAATCCTTCTAATAGACCTATTGCATCTGAAGTCCATAATGAATTATCTAAATGGTATAATATAGTAAATTTGAGTTCTGCAAAGCATGAAAATGAAATAACAATATTAGAAGCATTCCAGTATGCAGATGTGGTTATTCCAAAATTATCAACTGAACTGCCAATTTGTCTTAAAGATAAACTAACAAGCAAACTACTTAACTTTAAAAACCTTTCGGAGTCAATTAATTGTCAATCTGCAGAGTTGTCAAAATTACATGGTGGATAATTACACTTATTATATCTGATTTTTATTTAATTGATAAAAATTTAATGACACATTTTAATTTTTTTAGATTCTGGATTATGTGATTTTTCAGTTCCTAAATAATGATATTTCATATAAGTATTTAATAATTTTTAAATTTTTAAAATATAAAATATTAAATTACTATTAATACTTTAATTTCTATGGCTAAGGATGTAATCTATATTTATGGATAGATAATTCTGGTCTGATCGTCCAGTTATAATATTAAATCTAACTTATGTGATCAATTTCAGTTTCTAAGCGTTTCCAATAATTCAAAATCTACTTTTAATTGAAACTAATCTAAACCGGTTTCAATACAGTTAACCACGTAGCTAGTTAAAAAACAGGTCCTTGTTTCTTTAATTCAAATTGGTTATCATCTGATATGCTAAAAATTGGGCTTATTTGGTTATTTATAGTTATCGAAATTATGTATTTCATAAAAGTAGAACCAGTATTTGAAGCTTTTAACTTCAGAAAAGTGTTAACTTCTTTATTTGTAGTATCTTTGTACGAAAATTTCATTATTAGTAACTCACGTTTGTAATTTTTTTAAATTGCTATTTGGGTGCGCAGCACATATAAAAATAGATATATATTTTATATATAATTCTATTTTTAGATGTGCTGCTTTTCTATTAGCGACACTCATTTATTATAAAACAAGTCGCTTTTAACCAGTGTTGATAGTCGAATTAACCAATAGTATTGATGAATAATTAGACTCAGTTAATATATTTATTATCTAATTGACCAATTTCCAACACTGGTTTTAACGTTATTTACAGTATTTCGATAATAAATTTCCTATTATATCTATTAAATTATGTTAAAATTCCGCGAGTTTGTAAAATTTAAACGTCGAAATTAGTTGGCTTGTTTAATATTTTGTATTATGAGCCCATTTATAAAAATCTTTAATTGAATAAATATTGTTCACGTATTTAAATAAATTAGAAAGTATGTTTTTTCAAAATTTGTGATGAAATGAAGGTATTTGGGTATAAATAACATTTGATATATTGAAAATTTATAAAAAATATAGAAAAGCTTGCAATAGTTAATTATATTAATGGGCAAATTACTTCATCTCCATCAAAATACAAAAAATTAAATGCTCTACGATTATGTAATGGAACACAAATTCACCATATAACGAGTGAAAAGAAATTTACGAAACGTAAAAAAAAGTGCATTCACATGACAATGACCTGAAAAGAATTAAACTCAAACACTTTCCGGTTCTGTAACGGGATTTCAAGCATATTACGTATTTATAATGAATAAAAAGAAAGTTATCAAGTCGATTAATTACGGCAGGCTTTATAAGCATTTAAACTATAATAAATTAATGTCAATAAAAATTTTTTTTTTGGTTTTGTATCTGTTGAATACGTCTGATAATCTTTTACATTTTTAACAGTATCATTTATTTGTAACAAACTTAAATCTTGAAAGGAACCATTTTTTTTGCTGAAGCTGAAATTAATTAGATGCAGTAAATTCAGCCAAATTTCAAATCAAGCCGCTAATATTCTTATGTATGTATGTATGTCATTTACATATCTTCATATATCCATATTCAGTAAAATAAGTCGGTCATAAATATTTACCAATCTTAAAACAAAAAACGCGAAATTATAAATTATGACGTTCTCAAACATTTCACACAATGTATTCAATAAAGAATCTGATTGGTCATTTTAGTTATACCAGCAACAAATCCTCTATCTAATTTGTTGATGCACCATACGATTTGTATATGATTGATATTTTTCACAGTTCCTAGGTTACTGTGTCAAAACATACATATTATATCTCTAGATGTTACACTGTATTAACAACTTTTAGCAATTTTACAGCTTGTTCACTAAACGTTCACTAAATCTTCTATCTCAATATGGCCTTGACATCAATTTCAAAATTTCTTAAACATACAAATTTTTACCGTCGGTCAAAATGAAAAGTGTTAAAAATATTTCGACTAACTTTTATATTTGCACCATATGCCTGCACATTTGTCTATATGTGTTGGAAGTTTTATGAATTAAGTAAAGGAGAAAAAATATTAATTTACACACGAGAAAATTTACTATTTGTTACAGCACCGAGTATTTATAGATTCATAAAATGTGTTCATTTTAAATGATGACTTTTATAATTTAATAATCATTTAATAATCATAGATTTATATTTTTCATCCGGTTCTAACTTTACTATAGGTTGTGAATATTCTTTTAATGATAGGTATATTACTACGATTGTATACTACTTCGATTAAAATTTTCCAAGATCTTTGTGTAATTATTAATTCCCAATTCAAACTTTAAGGCTTCCTTACAATGGCAGTCAATTGCATTGCACACAAAAAATACAACAAGTCGCAAGTCATTTATTTGTTCCTTATATTGCCATTTTTATATCAAATGGTTTACAATTAAGAAATTATTTATTGTTTAATCCACCTGATATGACTGGAATTAATTTCGACTCAAATCCAACTGAATTTGCTAATATCACTAGTATTTATTTCACCATAAACCAACCTAGAAATCAAAAGAACATAACTCTGTTTTGGGCTTTTGATTCAGGCATGTCTTATGCTAAAGAATACTTAAATTGATCGTTTTATTACTAAAAAATGTCGAATATTTACAGAAATGGACCCATTTCTTAACGAAAATTTATATTATCAAGAACGAGATCTCATGGATGAATTTATAAATGCAAATAAGTATATCGTCGGAACTGGGGGTAATTTTGATTTTAATTTAGTTGCCTTCGTATTTTACAATTATAAATTCAAATACACATGTTTTGTATGTATGTTATAGCTTAATCAATTCAGATTTAGCAAACATATCCGCCAATCACTTATTCATAAACTGAGTACCTTATTTTCATTGCAACCTCAATACAAAAAAATCCCGTATATTACTTCAATATGGGTAAGCATCAAAGGTATTAGAAAGTATAATGTATTTATTAAAATACTTAATTTTAAATATTATTTTTAACTTCAATTTACAATATATGGGAGAATAAGTTGCTTGTCAACAAATGTCGAAATAGAATCAGAAAAACTGTAAGTTGCATAAATAAATTTGTTACCCAAATTTTCAACTTTAATTGTTTATTAATCAAATTTTTTAACTTTAATTATTCAAGAATTTTAACGCTTTTGGACGTTTTTGGCTTGGTTGGAGGCTTGTTTACATTGCTATCTACGATCTCTGTAATATTATTTGGTAAGTTACTGTACTAATTCGTTTTCTTATGATTATTTGGTAAGTTACTGTACTAATTCGTTTTCTTATGATTATGTAGTAAATGTTAATATCTTTTATGATAAATATGTTGATCTTAGGTTTCATAAATGTACTGAAAGTAAAGACAATAAAACCCTATAAAATTTTTATAACCAAATTTTTAGCCTTGATAGGTATTATATAACAATGTATTTTAAGAATTCAAAATGCTGAAAATCACCTCTATTTGTTATTATCTTTATTTTTATATATTTAATCCCAAAAATGAAAACATAGCCAATTTTATCTTTTCTGGTATATTATCATCTTATATATGAGTGCTGCCAAGAGAAAACCTACATGTTGTACTTTTTGAATATTTATTTTTAATAAAAATATCTTAAAATCAGACAATTTAGTACCTATTGCTCTTAATATTATTTGAATCGTCTTATTAAGATAGTTCGAATAATGCCTGATTTTATGATATTTTTATTAAAGTAAATATTCAAAAAATATAAAACGTAGGTTTTCTCTTGACTGCATTCATATTTAAAACATTAATATCTGTCGTAATGGTAGTCGACATGCGTCTGGATAAGAGCTCAGCCAACAACTAAAACATATCGGCTGATTTGATTTTTTGGGCCTTTTTTCGATAAACTGTTACGCGAAGTTTGCTCCTAAGATTGAAAAAGTAACCAATGAAGTGCTTGTCACAAGTAACAAATAAGCTTTTTCAGCATCTAGGCAAGACGAAAAAAACGAATAAAACCCAATAAAACGACCATGTTAAGCTATAGAAAGAAGCATATTTACCGTTTGCTAAATACTCGGGTATTATATTAACTGTGAAGGGTGAAATCAGAAGCAATTTTTCAAAACAAATGGACTTTTAAACTTACTTTTGGCTTATAATTAAATATTGTATTTCGTAATTTCCTACATACTTAATTATAAATGCAAAGCTGGTTAGAAAGGTCGTTTTTGTAAAATTTCCTTCGTAATAAATTTTCGTGTAAATTTTTTGATAATACTCGATCATGATTAGCCAATGTCTTCTATATAATTCAATTCTGGGTTGTGTGCTTTTTAACATTTTTGATTGTCAGTATTAGAAGAATGTGATCTACGCATGTGGAAAAAAAAATGCAATTCTGAATTGCGCGCTTTGACGTTTTTTGCACTTTGATATTTTTGATTGGCAGTGGTAAAGAAATGTGATTTAAGCGTGTGAAATTGGGTTTACTGTATACAGTACCATAGGAAGACTTTCCTATGATTGGCTGTTAAAATCAATTTAATTTTACATTATTTATACAGTTTAAACTACTTTTTAAAAAAAATAAAACTACAAAGAATAACCAAAAAAAAAAGTATATAAAAGTTTTATTAGGGCTGTAGGACTCCACTATTAAAAATAATCAAAATCCCTTTTGTTTTAGAGAAGTTAGCATGGTAATGACCTAATTATATCTAATTTTAAAAAGTCACTATTATGCTAACTTCTCTAACATCATAAATAATTTTGATTATTTTTAATAGTTGAGTTCTACAACCCTAATAAAACTTTTTATATACCTCTTTTTTGCTTATTTTTCGTAGTTTTATTTTTTTTAAAAAAGTACTCTAAACGGTATAAATAAATGTAAAATTGAAATTGATTTAAACAGCCAATCATACGAAAGTCTTCCTATGGTATACAGTATGGTATGATCAAAATCCTTATGATTCAACAAATTTCAATTGATTGTGATGTTGTCACGCAATACTAAATTTATATTAGGATTTATATGTGATTAGAGATGAGCAAATCACGGTTTTGCCAAAAAATCCCGCACGTCACGCGCGGATCCCGCGCGGATTCACAGATTGTTACCAAGATTACCGTAAGTTTCGACTGGAATTATGGCATTGGCCCGAATTATCCCGTGCATCACGTGATGAATCCCGTCACTATATGTGATGTATGGTGATGCAGCTCCCGAAGAACAAATAAATTTTTAGGATCTTGTCTTAAATATGAATGTTAGTCTTTATAGCAATGAGTTTTAAAAGAAATTTGTATTACTTAAATGTGTGCCAGGTTCGTAGTGCAGCAAAAATTCTTTAAAACTCGTTTAGTTAAGGTTAGAGTCAAGTTTAGTACTTAGAAGGAAGTAATTTATACAGTAAAATTGCCCAATGCAAACTTTTTTTAGAGCACTAAAGGTGATTACTTATGCTGATTGTTGAGGAATAAGTAATTTTTGACAAAATTAAGGTTTTATTTGAATTTTCTTGATGGTATTAAGTTCTACCTTATCTTGAAATCTGATTCGTAGTTCAAGAAATCTGCTGCACACATTCAAGACGTGCAAGAATTTTGTTTATTCTACAAACCTAGCACACATCTTATGCTGCAAATATATGCATTACGGTTATGTAATTGCAATGCAGATTAAAATAGGGGAATTCACAAATAAGGGCCCAGAAAGTGAAAATAATTACAAATACGGGCCCAAATTAAAAATAATTACATAAAGGTCTAATATTACATATAAGGACCCAAAATAACAGCGACATTATTCAATCCTATGGCTTGATAATAAATATAAGCGTAGTTATTAAGTACATAAAAAATGTAACGATCGATTATAAAGTAGTAATTATAAACGAAAAAAAGAAATTTATTAAATTTAATAAATTTCCTTTTCTTGTATAAAATCGGTTATTGTTATAACAAACCACTATGATATCAAGTAAAGCATTGCAAATTGAAATAACATTTACTAATATGAAGATAATTATGATGTTCTTGAGAGCTACTCTGTTGAAACATCATCATCTTATAAATAATTGTGCTAGTTTAACACTATTTTTTATACTATATTTAAGAGAAAATGATTGTAGCCGGCTTCATTTATTTTTTTATCTAATAATTGATATCTAGATAACTCTAAATGCTTATCATAAAACAATCAATAATCCTATAATCGCGATTTTGCTAAGTCAAATGGTCAGAGTACTTTATGGCACAGTAGTTCCGTGATAATGTTTTTCATCCATCAATAGACTTAAAAATTAATTTGGACCCGTATTTGTATTATTTCCCTTATTAGTAAATCCCCCTTTAAAATATCACATAGTTTCTTATAGATTACTCAGCACGCAATCTTAGAGAAATTTGCATGTCACCTGTTATCCCCTGTTCGTTCATTATAATATTGTTTCTTTATTATATAGATAGCCATTTGTGCAAATGTACCTTTTTATAAAATATGATTGACCAATGCTTTGAAATGGTTACGTTGTAAATTCAAGTATAGTTATGTTATATTCAAACTGTATGTAATATTTTTTAATATTGCTAACTTTATTTAAATTCTGGTCATGGCTTTCAAGAACTCAGATTGCGATACACTGAATTATGATTACAAAAATAACTACAGTATGAAATAAACCATTAAAATCATTTGAATGTGTAAGAATTATCAGTAATACATGCAGGCATTTTTTGAGACTGTGCAGTACAATTTTCATAATTAAGGCCAGCTGGCATAATTCCGGTCAACTTTATAATACAGGCTTGAATAAGCCAATCGGAAATCGTTCCAGATCGGCCAAAAGAAAAACAAAACATGATGGATCTGCATCACTTGATTAATAGAATCCATCGTTCATAATTCTGGTCAAACTTGCAGATCATTTGACCACGTTTAAAGTTGGTCTGTTCTAGATCTGGCCAAATGATCTGTAAATTTGACCAGAATTATTAGCAATGAGTTCCTCTAAGATGATGAAATCCACCACTGACGTCTAAACTAACCTTGAAGCACTAATACAAAATGATAGGTGCTCGACTTTACACATATGAAGTAGATATATTAAGTTTATAATAATGATTTAAGATAATCATTGAAGAATTTATAGATGGATATAACTTTTACATCTGCATTTTTTCATTTACTTCTGTACCAATCGTGATTTTTTGTTTGCATCTTTTCTAGCAACACTCTCATAAACCCATAACAATGGCAATACCATCGTTCATTCTACATATTTTTCCTTTTTTGCTTCCACATTTGTTCTTCATATTCATCTGTCGAAAAATGATAGATTTTTACCTTTTCTGTCTCTGAGCTTTCTTTGATATTATTGTCAACAATTTTCCATGCATGACTGATGCCGTCGGTCACTTCTAGAACATAATCAAGCATATTATCGAGTTTGTTGTTACTTATATCCATATCCACATCATCTTCAATATCAAAAAAATCATCAATATTAAAAGGAATTGACTTAAGAAACAAAATATAAAATATATTTAATCTTAGAATATTCGTTTTATTATAATATTTTGCACGGAAAATTGGACAATTAGCTAATATCACGATTGGTCCAATTGATTGAGTTCAATTATAAAAACATCGGTTATTTCGACTGTACAATTGTCAATTGCAAACACTGGTTAAAACATAACTTTATTTACAATTAAAAGAAATTACAAACGTGAATTATTAATAAGGAAATTTTATATAAAGATATTACAAATAAAAGAAGTTAACACTTTTTTGAAGTTAAAAACTTTAAATAAGTTCAAATTCAGATTCTAATTTATGAAATACATAATTTTAATAGCTAAATAAGCCTGATTTTTTAGCATATTTTTATCAAATAACAAAGATTTGCTCTTAACTGATTACATGATTATTTGTATTAAGACCAGTTTATATTGGTGTTTATATTGGTCTTTATAAACCTATTTATTTTAAAACGTCACATAATCGCTTTTTATCGGTTATTTCTATTAATAGTTATATTTTTGAATTATTAGAACTGCTTAGAAACTGTGATTGATCACTAGACAGATTTATTAGAAACTGTACGATCAAACCAGAATTCTCTATCCCGAAATATAATTATAATATTTCATCCTTGGCTATAAAATGAAGTATTTATAGTAAATTAATATTTTATATCTTAAACAAACAAAAAATTATTAAATACTTACATGAAATATCATTTTAAAATTGAAAAATCACATAATCCAGAATCTAAAAAAATTAACAAGTCATTAAGTTTTTATCAATTAAATAAAAATCAGATATAAAAGTGTAATTACCCACCAAGAAATTTTGACAACTCTGCAGATTGACAATTAATTTGCTTAGAAAGGTTTTTAAAGTTAAGTAGTTTGCTTGTTAGTTTATCTTTAGGGCAATTCGGCAAATCAGTTGGTAGTGTTGGAATAATCACATCAGCAGACTGGAATGCTTTTAATATTGTTAACTCATTTTCATACATTGCAGAATTCCAATCTACTATATTATACCATTTGGATAATTCATTATAAACATAAGATGCATTAGGTCTGTTAGAAGGATTAGCATCTATACATTGATTTGCTAATTTAATATAGCATTCGGGAGTGCCTTCAGCAAAGTCAGGACGTAAACTCTTAGAACATATACTAATAGCTAACTCTACATCGTACTCTAAATCATAATGAGGTGGTTTTCCTGTGGACATTTCAGTCATAATAATACCAAAACTATAAATATCCGATGCGACTGTATACGATCGTCCAGTTAACACTTCGTGGGCAATATAAGGTAGAACGCCGTAAATACCATCTTCTAAACCCGAATCATCATTTTTTTCTAGATAATCCTAGATCTGCAATATAAGATCTTAGATCTCCATTAATACTGATGTTGCAATATATTACCGCTATGAAGATCTCCATGAACATATTTTGCATTATGAACTATCGATAAATTTCTTGATATTTCAACAAGTTGCTTTAATTTATTTTTCCAATTAAATCCCCTAAAGCTAGATAATAAGAATTTACGAAGACTTCCTTTATTTGCATATTGAAATACTATTAAATATTCATTATCTGCGTTTTGAGATAGTCCATACACTTCAATATCAATACCCTCTAATCTACATTCTACATAGCTTTTAAACTTGTAAATTAATAAATAAATTTATATTAATCACTTCTCCATATTAAGTAATAAATGAATTAGTTTAACTTACTTCTTTTAAAAAATTCTTTTGCAAACCAGGTAATGTCTTAAGTGCAACTATACATGATGTACGCGATTGCGTATATTTCTCTTTTTCGCCTGAAGTTATTCTTTTACCATCTAGCCACATTGCTGAAAACACTGAGCCAAACCCCCTTTCACCGATCTTTTGAAAGTTTAGTAATCTATTAAAAGGAATCCATTCGATAACGTCGTCATATTTTGTAGTTCTAAGTTGAAATTCTTTAATGCAATTATCAACATCCTTACTTTCGCTTGCCCATCCTTGTGTTGTTTTCTGAGGATCACATGCCTGACACCAAGCTTTTGACGTGTTATATCGGTTGCAATGTGCGCATTTTCCATTCCATGGTTTTCTTTTAGAATCAAATTCATTAGAAAACACTAACATATATTCATTTGTTACAGTGTCATGAGTTAGTCCATATACTTTAAGCTCACTATTCTTTTTTAACAGTACGTAATCTGTAAACTTATTTAATATGATATAAACATAAATTAAAATAAAGTAATATATATTAGTATAATATAATAATAATTTAATATTTTTAACTCACTTCTTTTAACATATCGATTAAATTTGGTGATTCATTTAATACTTTAAGATCTACTCCATATGATGGTATACGTGACTGTGTACATTCATTGCTATATAGTGAATTGGCTGCAGAACAATTTGTTAATAAAATTCAACAAATAATAATCCAATATGGTGCAAGATATACAAATACCAATATACAATCGTTTGTTGAAGTTGTTGAAGTTAATTATGACAATTCTTTATCTGGTTCATTATTTCCTAAAAGATGAATGTTGAAAAGACCTTCCTATAATACTAATACAGTTAGTCATGAATTAATAATGTATGAAAGAGAACCTCCTGAAGAGATTAAAAGTGAAAATAAAAATAGTGGACTTTTCTGTTGAAAATATTGTCAAAACAATTTCCAATTCTTAGTAACATGGTACATAAATATCTCAGCATTTAGCCTTCAAGTGTTGCTAATGAAAGGGCATTTTCAAGAGCAGGTTTTACAATTACTCATGATAGAGCAAATCTTAGTGAAAAGTTTGTTTCTTCTACAATTCTTATGTATTCTTGGCTTCTAGAAAGTCAAAATGAACTTGGTCCTCTTTATGCTCTTCTATGAACAAAATAATCATATACTACAAATTTATAATCAATTCAAATTAAAAAATATAAAGAAGAAATTCCTTTTACATATACCATAATTTATATGCAATAAATAATTATCAATTGTTACATGAGATATAATGCAAAGTGCACTTATGTAAACTTTAATTACAAAAATAATAATTTTGTACACTTATTATTAAACAGTAATCAGAATTAAATTATACTATATAGTATTGTTTAGATTATATAAAAATTACATAATTCTAATTATTAAATTACAAAATAAATAGCCAAATATTATAGTTTACATATTATTCGTGTTATTTAATGTTGAATTTTTCTCAATATTTAGAGAGAGAATACAGTAATACAATACAAATTATACAGTGCATTATAATAATTATGCCTTCTGGCATCTTTTATTCGAAAGGTTTTGAATAAAAAAAAAAGATTAAATTTCAAAATTTTTTTAATTCAAATTTTTTTTTTATTATTCAATAGTAAATCAATATTTTAAAATAAATTCACTTTTCCTAAAAATTTTATTTTTGCAACTCTTAAATTTATCATAGTACCCTACTCTTCCTTATATAAGATAACAAGTCATTCATTTTTTAATCAAATTATTTAATCTAAGTATTTTATTTCTTATTTTTGTTTAATTTTTTTATATTTTGATTAATTTCTTTATTTATTTATATTATTTGTTTTGTAAATATAGTACTTGATAATTATTGATTACTTTTTCTTATTTAATTTTCTCTTACATTTTGTAATACAACCTTTGAATATACAAATTTATACTAGATTCAGTGCCTATAAATGAGTTTATAATTAGTGAAATGAATTAGACTTAGGTCTTGTTATGCACTTTTATATGTGGTATTTTATATTTAACATATAAAATTTGTATTTGGTCACATATATAGAAATTAGAATTCAGTACATATGTTATTAAAACATAGAGCCTATAATCATATCTGGCACTATGCTTTAATAAGATATATATTGGCATTTGCAAAGTCCTATTATAAACTTTTGCATCTTATTCCTGGCCCAAAAATATCAACCATTTTAAGAAATTAGCATTGGTACTATCAATTGTATTAGTGTCTGGTGTGGTGCCATTGTACCTGGCATAGCCACTTGCAGATTTCTACTTTGCATCTTTGTGGGCTATTTGTAGGCATAGTATAAAGATGCTGGTCTAAAATTGCCAGGTGCCTTTTGTTTATAGGCACTGGCATGACACAAGGTACTAGTGCCACATAGGAAGACATTTATATGATTGGCTAATTTTGTAGAACTATTTATGATTACCTGTGATTGTTAACCAATCAAATTACAGAATTTTTAAACAATTTTTTGTTTTAATACTATTAGAAAATGAAGAAAACTTTGTATAAAGAAGTTATAAACTAATAAATTTTTACAAAAAACATTTATCTCAAGCACCTAGAGAATAGATAAATAACCGTAAAGTGGTAAATGTGATATTTATTACTAATAAACCTGAATTCATTAAAGAATCTACAAGATGTAAGCCAAAACTTCTAATTTATGATTAACAAACACAAATACACTACAAGAACCAAACAAATTTAAAAATTATATTAATCTAACTTGAATACTAATTTAAAAAATATGCTAATCTAACCCAAGTACTAATTTAACAACAAACTCAAATCTGAATACTAGACATACCAAACACATTAGATTCACACAAAAAAGCCAGATCTAACAAACTAATTCCTATAAAATCTCATTGCAAGATATAAAAGTATTGAGATTTAGTCTTAATATAATAATTTAAACAGCACTTAAGCAGCAATAAAAAGTTTTTTATTGCATAAAACTTATGTTTTGATCACCTTTTCAGTCTTTTTCAGTTGACCATTTCTGGAATTTAATACTTAAATATAGTTAGTATAGTGGTATATAGTGTTAGACCTAAGACACGTGATCTACAAGTTGCTGATTTCATTGTGGATCTTCACCGTTCGACCTCAAGTCATGCCCCAGAGTATAAAGATCTCTTACTATACTTGGGATAACCACTTATAATGATTATATTGATTATATTGCTTATATTGATTATAATTATTATAATCAATACAAGCATTATAATCATTATAATCATTATAATGATTATCGGCACCCTAAAAATAAATAGAGAATTAGTTATAAATAACATGTAGTTTCGCCCAAGTAATAAAGTAGATTTCCCCTACCTGACAGAATAAATCGAATGAAAGGTTCGTCTACGAGTGACTGTAGAGAACCATTGTTAAAGAATAAACCTAACCCATGATAGTAGTAAATCCCAACCCGATTGTCCAGTAATTCCCGATGTAGTGTGGAATACTGCACTGTTAGAAGAAGTAGAGTGATAGTCTCAACGTAGTGTAGACTATCCAGGATAAGCAAGACCCGAATCGAAATCACTTGCCAAATTTACACGCCTCTTTCGACCAAAAACCATCCGAACATTACATGAAGCCAACCTTCGATTAGCGACAGACTCGCTGAATTAGGACATCTCAATAGTAAAGTATTCACTTCTAAGTGAAGTTCATTGAGTTACTGATTATTTTTGATTATTTTTACATAGTGAATGTTAACTCTCTTCCACACATATTGGTAGTATTAATGATAGTTTTTAGTTAGTAAAATGTTACATTCTCAAAAAGTACTTTAAAGTGTATAAATAAGTTATCTAGGCAATTGATTTACACCAGCCAATCATACAAAAGTCTTCCTATATACTGGTGCCTGGCATAGTGCTAAATATGCTGGCATAGACATTTGCAGAACCCTAATTTATTTATATTACTACAACAAATTAAAAATATCTTATCTTATAAATTTATTATTAAATTCATTGATTAGTTTAATTTAAGAGTAAGATATATATGTTAATTTAGATTTGACAAAAATACAATTTAATAACTTACAAGAATTTTGAAACAAAATAACTTATATTTTGTCTGAATTAAGTATAATAATAAAAGATTATACTATACTTGGTTATCTATTTCTTTCTGTGCCATTAAAGAAACATTTCTGACTACAATGAAATTTTGATAGACAATAAAAATATGATGTATTTCAATAAATAATAATTAATTAAAGAAAAAAATTTATATATCACAAACTGTAAATCAAAATTTTTTGTATTGTATCGTTTAATATAAATAATACAAATTGCTTTATAAATTTTTTTTAAAATTTTAAAATACATTTTTTTTCTAGTAAATAAACCAGAAACGGATCAGCTTTTTGTTTAGTTGACGTATTTTTTAAAAAATTACAGGTTTCTATTTTTTACAAAATAAAATTGCATTTTTTTTTTTACTCTGTAAACATTATTAAATTCGTACTTTTAAGTTTGAATTATCAGTAAACTGATTATTTCATATATACCGCACACATAATTTACAAATTTTTATCACATAAATTCCGGGTCCCTGATTGGCGGTAACGCTGGACTTGCGCTACCTGACTTTAGATGTCTATTTTTAGAAAACTTGCACTCCAATACTGTGCGTCATCTATTGTCATTACTTTATAAAATCCATCTTAAAAAAATCCATTCTTAATTACGCATTTACAGATAGATATATCTACTGAAAAAAATGGCTAAAACAGACACTGATGATTTTGTTTACAATGGAATTATGTTTGAAGAGCCTCGTATCGATATTAATGATATTGACATTGCAAGACTCGGAATTACCCCAGATTTTTTAAAAGTAGATACAACTATCTTTTATGGAACTTCTGGTATGCGCGATGAAGTTGAGCAATTGTATAATTTGATTGTTGACAAGAAAGCCGATATTGATCGTATACTTGAGTCAAAACCTGTGTATGCCATAGGACCCAACTTTTACAAGGGCTATTCTTTTCCTTTTATTACCTGTTGGGCGACAAGCCAGTTAGAACCATCAATTTTAGAACGACTTATGGCAATATTTGACTATGAAGTTAGGGTTGTAAGCCAAGTGATTGAACCAGTAGATGGAAACGGAGCAGCAAAACCCAGTATTGCGGGTGGATCTGAAAGGAATAACAACAATGGAGATGATTTCCATAGTGGCAAAAGCGATGACAGAAGTACCAGTTATGGCAGAAAGGATGATGGCTATAGTGGTGGAAGTGGTAGTAGAGATGACAATAATGACAAGGATGGCAGTAGTAATTATGATAGTAAAGTTATAACAATAAATTCTGTGGCAAAGGTAACAGCTAAAGGTCAAGATCATACCCAAGACCTTTCTGTTGCATTTAAGTTTCACGCAAAATTTGACAACATTCAAGAAAAATATCCAAAGTTTGCTGTTAATGTTGATATAGTTGCGTGTTGAACACGACGTATGCTTAGTGACAGTTGGAAGAAGCTTGAATATGAAGGCTACGGTTATTGCCTTGAGTCTCTTAAAATTAAATTTATTCCAATTGCAAATGAGCCTGATAATCATTTGCCGCTAATTCTTCAAGGCATCTTGTTTCCAGATGAAAAAGTTGGCTATATTGAACATTTAAAAACTGTTGAAGAACAAGTTTGTTTGAGATTCGGTAATGTTCCAACAGCTGAAGTCCAAGTCAAACGATCCAATAGTACTAAAGCTATATCAAACGAATGGAATTTACAAGTAGCAGGAACTTGTGTTGATGGATATAGTTGGTCATATAAATACAATTCTGATTTGCCAAAACTTAAGTTTGAGCCTGGACTTCATAAGGTTGAAGGAAAGATTGCAAGTGAGAGAATGTGTGGATTCTATATTAAATTGCTCAAACATTTCGCTTCAAGCTGAAGGGCATCTTGCCAGGCTTTTTGAGATTTACAAAACCAAAGCTGATTAAATGTCCCAGTGTAACTCATACTCTTAAATTGACTTTCAACGACCTTAAAGATTTTAACGAGAAATTCTCAAAACTCACAAAACTTAATTCTCATCAAGATGTGGTTGAAAGTATTACTTTTACAGTGAATGATATAAACCCAACAAATAATACCGCAAAAATGAATTCTGACATTATCAGTATTGAAAATTCGATCAAGAAAGAATTTTAAATGTAAAAATTTATGGCTCACATATATGCACAGGTATCGAAAATTTTCGAAATTAAATGACGAATATGTTTATTGTTTGTATATTAAGGGTGAATTTATAACTCAATAAAGTAACTAGCTGTCAAAAATAAGAGCATATTAAGCTAATACTGTGAATAATTTAAATATGTGTATATTTGTAACCTGATCTGGGTAATCATTAATTACTAACTGACTGGGACTAACCAGATACAATCAGCTCAATTGGAATTATTTAGTCTACAACTGTTATCATAAATTCTGGGCACCTGATAAAAATTTACAGAATGATTTTTCGAACGATTCGTTAAGTTTGTGATTTCGGTATAATAGATTCATTAAATATATTAAACAACACCTGACTACATGTAGAATCAAGTCCTGAAAGTGGATCATGCATGTAGTTTTAATCATACGCTACTTTATATATCTAAAGTAGTAACTCCATATAGGTAGCGATATATACGTAATTTAAGATAATGTGACTAATATAAACGCACCTTGCTCTCCCACAAAAAATTGATCATCCCTGTAATTTTGACCAATCGAATTTTAAAATCAGTTGTAACGTAAAAATCAAACTTATATTTAACAAATCTTGCGCCTGACCATGCGCTGGGAATTTTTAGCTGCTCTAGTGTTGTTACCATAAAACATTTCAGCAGACAACCAAATTTTTGTATCTGATGTTTCAATACGCTAAAAAAGGTTGATCCTCCAATTGTTTGCATCAATGAAGTTCTTTTTAATCTAATATAATAGCAAATCCTGTTCTTAATTTAACGCCAAAAATTTTTTTGTGAAATCTTTGGGTTGGTGACGTTAGAGTTCTAGTAAGGTTTAAATTGGCTGACTCGAATTAATGCTAATAAATTTAAATTCTTAATAGAAATTTCAAGCAATAAGAGGAGCTCGATAGGAAATGAAAATACGGTTTATCCATTTTGATTATTCCATTTCTATCCTCTAGCTTAAAAATAATTTATTATAAATTAAACGTATTATGAGCATGTACAAAAAATCGCTTAAATAAGTTGACTAAAATAGATGACATGTTCATTTTCAAATGAGTAATGTATCAACTTTTGATAAATTTGAAATGATCTTTGTTGTCGTAAAGTTTACTTCTTTCGTTAAATGGAAGCATTTAATACTCCCATTCAATACGCAAATAAGATTTCAAACTTCCATATATTACCAAAGTGCACTATTTTTTTAAGGAAAATTCTATTTTGACCGCTATGCTATTTCTCGTAATATGCCTTTTAACGCTAATGGAGTAAGCCTTGTGATTTTGTCATTAACGTAATACACATGGTATCCTTCAGGGTTGTAAAATTAGAGGTCATTTCAGACTAAAATTCATAATAAAATTTGTGTTATTTGAGGTATTTGAGATTTGGCACCCTTGGTCTTCTTTTAATATAAATTAGACTGATTTTTCCTTTGATTTTAATGAGATTTATTTGTATTCAGCTCAATGCAATCGTATAATCATGTTGCATTTTAATTATATTTTCGGTTTTCTTTTAAATTTTGCTTTTACTATAGCTGATTTCATTCAATCTGGAAAATACAGCATGCATGAATCTTCTTGATAAAAACTCTATTTTATTGGAGGATACAAAGATAATGGCTCTGGTGTTGACATTACGAATGAATTCTTTTATTTAGATGTTTCTAAATCATTTACAACAATCATTTACAACAAATGACACAAATGGCACAGGTTCAATTCCATATAGAAATTTTAATATTAAAAAATCTAAAAAAATTATAAGTGCAACTAGGCGCTTGAGTTGCTTAAAGGGAGTTAGAAATGAGCATATTGTATTATATAGTTTTGGTACATTACGTATGTATAACAGAGATTTATAGTGTGAGCCCGATTTTCGGGGTCACAGGTGACCGATGACACCAGAGAACCGGTCTTGGCGTGTCGGTCGCTTTTCAAACAGATACGTCGTGTAACCTACGAACGGCTTAGTCGATAAGAGGCGGTTAGATTTGGCGAGTGGTATGTTTATGATCGTA